GGACTCTTAAAGAATGTTGAGTGATGGCTTCATGTGTACATAGATATAAAGGAGGGAGCTAGGTCTGTCTAGTCTATTGACGAGAAGGATTAAGGGGGACATGATAACTGTCTTTCAATACTTGAGAGAGTGTCACAAAGAAGAGGGGATTGATCCTCCAAAGCACCAGAGGACACGACAAGAAGAAATGGGTAGAAGTTCCTTAAAGGGAAATCCAACTTAGAAGTAAGGAGAACTGTTCTGACAGTGAAAACAATTAATCAATGGAATACTTGCCTTCCAGAGTTGTGGTGCTTTATATCCCTGGAGGTTTTCAAAAATAGACTAGACAACCATTTGATGGTGCAAGGCTCCTGCCTTGAGAAGAGGGTTGGACTAGAAGATCTCTTGAGGTCCCTTCCAGTCCTATGATTCTATGTTCTATGATTCAGTGAAAGGCTTAATAACTCCCACGTCACTGGGAATCATAACATGGTTCATTTGTTTATGGATTCAGCATGCTATGTGAAGATAGCAAATGGTGGCATCGCCAGTAAGTCATTGTTAAGAAATTTACGGCTGAGTGCAATGAGTGATTCCATTTAAACAACTTCACAACTGGCCCTGTTTGCACAGCTTGTTAGACCGAAAATCTGTACTTAGTAATTTCATAAATACACATATATGCACACCAAATTTTGGTTTGGTTTGATTCATATGTTAAATATAAGTTACATCCCTTTCGGTTACATTCTGCTTTCAAAGACTTTAACTAAAGTCTTCCATTTATTCGAAATCTTCTTTTTTCTTATTGAAGTAAATATAAGACCATGGGTATGTTAATCGGGAAAAGCCACGAAACATTGGCTCCTTCACCTCCTGCTACACAATCCTGCTGTACAATCACAATGGGCTCCCCAAAAGAAAGTGTGGCTTCAATTAAATTAATTTCAATTAAAGTTTTCTCCTAGCGGTAGAAACTGATTTCTGCCAATTATCTAAAAAAAAAAAAAGTTTTATTTTACTGCATTGATTGGATGTGTATAATTTAACTGTTAACTTTGCTGATTACAAATAAATTTGCAAAAGAGGAACCAAATGAAGCAACTTAAAAGCTTCAACACTCTGAGTATGTCATAGGCTTAATGCAGGTCCAAGAAGATATCTTATTATTATTAATTCAGAATAACAGAGTTGCAAGAGACCTTGGGGGGTTTTCTAGTCCAACCTCCTGCTCAAGCAGGAGACCCTAGACCAGGGGTAGGCAACCTTGGCTCTTTTATGACTCATGGACTTCAACTCCCAGAATTCCTGAGCCAGCATGGGGGAACTATGGCCCCCTCATGACTCGTGGACTTCAACTCCCAGAATTCCTGAGCCAGCCATGCTGAGGGGAAAGGGAGAGGTTTCCAAGCTGAGCCATGCTGGCTCAGGAATTCTGGGAGTTGAAGTCCCCGAGTCATAAAAGAGCCAAGGTTGCCTACCCCTGCCCTAGACCATTTCAAACAAATGGTTGTCCAATCTCTTCTTAAAAACCTCCACTGTTGGAGCATCCACAACTTTGAAGGCAAGCTGTTCCACTGATTGTCTTCACTGTCAGGAAGTTTCTCCTTAGTTCTAGGTTGGTTCTCTCCTCGATTAGTCTCCATCCGTTGCTTCTTGTCCTGCCCTCAGGCGCTTTGGAGAATAGCTTGACTCCCTCTTCTTTGGGGCAACCCCTCAAATATTGGAACACTGCTATCACGTCCCCCCTCGTCCTTGTCTTCGTTAGACTAGACTAGACTAAATTTGATTAGAACTGCTGATGTTCTCAAGATGAAGGGGAGATCACAGCACAAGGGTTAAAGACTTTGCTTCACAGGAAGAAGGTGCCAAATCCTCACCTGCTTATCTGGAACCTGGCGAAGCTATTGATACCAACAACAAGTAGGCCAGATGGAGCAATAGCCGACACTTTTAAGTCCGAGAGTATGACTTTAGCATTCAGGCATGTACATTTGGGTAATGATCCTTTAACTGATCACTAGCCTGATATACACCCTTTGTCAGGAAATCCAGCCCTTGTTCAGCATAGGAATCCAAACGAGATCATCCATAATAGATAGATATCAGCATTCGCCCAAGCACAACAAAAGCGTTTCATTCCATTGTTGAAATATTACTGTTAGGAAGCATTGCCTAACGTTGCCTAGAAGTCCTCGACGTACGACCACAGTTGAGCCCAACATTTCTGTTGCTAAGTGAGACATTTGTTAAAGTCAGTTTTGCCTCGTTTTATAACCACGGTTGTTAAGTGAATCGCTGCAGTTGTTAAATGAGTAAGACCGTTGTTAAGCGAATCTTGGGTTCCCCACTGACTTTGCTTGTCAGAAGGCCGCAAAAGGGGGTCACGTGACCCCGGGACACGGCGACCGTCATAAATACGAGTCAGTTTGCCAAGCGGCTGAATTTTGATCACGTGACCCTGGGGATGCTGCAACGGTCGTAAGTGTGAAAAACGGTCATGTCACTTTTTTCAGTGCCGTTGTGACTTCGAATGGTCACTAAAGGAACTGTTGTAAGTCGAGCACTATGTGTACATTACATGTGTGTATAGCTGGAATTTCCAATCAAGGAGCCAGGGCAAAGAAATTCCTGGGGCCAGGACAAACAAACAAAAGTTGAGTTTGTCTTATTCAAACTGTATTTCAGCAATTAATTAAACACAATAGGGCTACTCCCTATAATATGTTTGATTGTGTTTCTCTTCTGCCTCATCTTAAATTATGAATCAGTGGCAACTTTTAACAGGGTTCTGGAAATCTCCTTGCAGTCTTTGGCCTTCGGAGCATTTAATTTAAATTAATTCTCAACCTCAGAACAAAGAAATCCTTCTGGTCTTAAATTAACCAAATTAACAGGTAGTTAATTGAATACTCTAACATTAAACCCTATGGAGTAAAGAGCTGGCTTCTTTGGTCACAGTTAAATTGCCCACCCGTGGTTATTTGTAAGAGGGCTCTGGAAGGCTCCAGGAATGCTTGCGATGGTCTCCATGTATGCAATACAGGTAGTCCTTGGCTTATGACGGGTATTTGGATGGGAAATCGCTAAGTCATCACCGTCATATGTCAAGGCGCACACAGGAACAGAAATGATTTGACGGCTTCTTGTGTGGCGGTTCTTAAGCGAAACGTGGCAGTTGTATGAGTGAATCCATTAATTTGAATGGGTGGGTTTTTTGCCAGAAAGTGACGACCCATGACTATGGATTGCTGCAACCTGTTGTAAAGATCACGTAAGCATGGGGGGGGGCAGTGTGACCGTTTGTGATGGCTGGGGGAGGGGGTGTTTCACAGGTTAGGCTTTGTAAACACAAACGGTCCTTAAGCAAGGAATATCAGTTCACGCAAAAACCAAACGGAGCTTTGATCACACCCTCTTGGCTGCTGTTTTGACTTGGGGACACTCCTGGAAGTCTGTCCATCCTTAGGATGTCCAGTTGTTCACCCAATTTAAGAAACATGCCTACACCGGCGCCACTTTGATCTAAGGCATCTAGCTAGAAAACAGGAGCCTGTGAGTTCTAGTCCTGCCGTAGGCATGAAAGCCAGCTGGGTGACTCTGGATCAGTCTAATTCTAATCTCTTTCTATTCTAACCTCTTTGCTCACCTTCTTGAAGACCAGTCAGTTTCCATCTCATGGCAGAGTTTAAAGGTGCTACTTAAGTTCCTGAAAAACAATAACCATCCCTGCAGCTTCATTTGTAACATCAGTGTAGGATGTCTGGACTGTTATTATAGGCCCATATCTTACCCCCAGCTGTAAAAATAAAGAATTTGCAAAGTCCCAGGAAGTATATAAGGATTAGAAAACTGAGATGTTGATAAACCGTTGGGGAATTTAGTCCGTAGCATCTTCGTTTTATACAGTTATACAAGATTATACATCTTATACTATAGAGAACCAGTTTGGTCTAGAGCAGCGGTTCTCAACCTGTGGGTCGCGACCCCTTTGGGGGTCAAACGACCCTTTCACAGGGGTCGCCTAAGACCATCAGAAAACACGTATTTCTGATGGTCTTAGGAACCAAGACACCGCTCCCCTATCTGTCTCCGCACGGCTTCGAGCTGGGGGCCGTTGCAGCACCGGATTCGTTTTCGTCGAGCATCTCCTAAGGGAGGCTGCGCTGCTTCGCGGCCCTTTCCGTGGAGGAGGCTGAACTGTCACCCTCTTGGCTCTCTCTCTCTCTCTCTCTCCCTCTCCCCGCCTGGGCGCTTCTCCAACCAGGCTGGGCAGAGCCGGCGGAGCGGCCTTCCTGTCCCCCCCTCCCTGGCCAGCTGGAGCCGGGCAGGCCGGCGACCTTCGGAAGTGAGGTGAGGACAGGCGAGGCGCGCTGAGCCCCGGGCGCGGCGGGTGAGTGGGCGGCGTCGGTGCGCGCATGGAGAGCCCTTAGGGTTGGGGGGTCACATGAGGAACTGTATTAAAGGGTCGCGGCATTAGGAAGGTTGAGAACCACTGGTCTAGAGGTTAAGGCAGTAGGCTAGGAAAGTGGGAGAATGTGAATTCTAGTCCGACTGTAGCCAGGAAAACTGGCTGAGTGACTTTGGGCCAATCACCAGGAGATGGTGAGTTCTAGTCCAATCTTAGGCATGAAAGCCCATGGGTGATTTTGTGCCAACCACCGGGTGACCGTGAGTTCTAGTCCTGCCTTAGCGATGAAAGCTGACTGGGTGACTTTGGGCCAATCACCAGGAGACGGTGAGTTCTAGTCCCGCCTTAGCCATGAAAGCCAGCTTGGGCCAATCGCTCTCTCAGCCTCACCCACTTCACAGTGGAGTTAGTAATTAGATTTACCATTGTACAAACTCTTATTAACTTCCGGATTCACTGCAGCAACTGGGAGTACTTCAAAAATGCAGCCATTTTTGGGGGGGGGGGAGGGACTTCAAAGAACGTGAAGAATGCACAACCAGGAATGCCCAATTTTAGGGCAGTAAAAGAGCCTCCCCCCTCCCCCCCACACACACCTTGAGTCGGAATGGCAGTGCGATTAGGAAAAGGAAGTGGGTGGAGTTGGGCTTTAAAAAAATATATCAAATAACTTAGTTATGTTTAACTTTAATTCCAAACAGCCTTAAGACTGAATTACTCATTGAAGTAGTAGTTTTCGTCCCCTGGCGACAATCTTTACAGCAGCTGTGTTGGCACCTGCCTCAGCTTGTGCAGTTCTGCCTTTAAAGAAAAGATGAGAGGCTTCCACAGACAGACTGTTTAGTCCTGGCCCTAAAGAGAGAGAGGTGGGAAAAACAGAAGAAAAAACTCACAACTTCTAGAAATAAAATGCCACAAGAGACTGCAAGATTCCAGGGTCTCCTAAATTCTTCATTAGGCTTATGGCGCAGTGTTTTTCTTTTTTCTTTATATATATATATATATATATATATATATATTAAACCAACAAAACAAAACATAACACACATACACACACAGTATATACTCCTCCCTTTTTTAACAGCGATTTCGTAACAGTAATCTTCTATTATTTACATTTCCCCCCCCCGTATTCTTCTTTAGAATATTTGTCCTTGTTGCCCCGTTGTTTCTTATTTGCATTTTTCTTCCTTCATACATTATTATACACACATTTTCCACTTTTAACCTTCCCACATTTATTCTCTATTATTTCTAGTCTCCAACCAGTCATACCACTTGTTCCATATTAGATAGTATTCTGTGTCTTCCTTTTCTTTTATCTCTTTTGTTAATTTGTCCATCTCAGCACAGTCCAGGATTTTTCTTATCACTTCTTCCTCTGATGGGGCACAGTGTTTTTCAACCTGGGCAACGGTGAGATGTGTGGACTTCAATTCCCAGAATTCCCCAGTCAGTATGCTGGCTGGGGAATTCTGGAAGATGACGTCTACACATCTTAAAAGTTGCCAAAATTGAGAAACACTGGGCTAATACCTAACCCAGCAAGGAAGCAGATGAAGGAAGTGAAACTTTCAGACCTCTGAAAATTACATTTTAGCCTGAAGATGACAGGGTGAGTAGGTGCAACAGGATTATGGAATACCACAATACTACTGTAATATTTCATCTTTGGCTCAAAGGCCCATTTAACACAACATCATATATCAGACGTTGGCCAAACTCTAGTAGACTACTAAACAGGTTTAATGAAGTTTGCAGAAACTTCTTAAAAACCCTATACCAAAACATGGGGAAACAATGGAAAATCCCAATTCTCTGGTGTGGGATGCCCTCGCACTGTTTGATTCTGACTTTCACACACACATACACGAACCATAAAAAATGTTTAAAGGGAGATTTCAATCCCCGGAAGGCATCAAGGCATCCTAAACAGCGGAAGGACAGTTTATTTAAAACAGGGATACCCTCAAGGTAAATCCGATTGGTAGAATAAGGTAGTGATAATTATTGGTCCTTGCAGGAAAAGGTGAGTGAAGTGGCTCTCCTTAAAATGGCAACAAAAATTTGGCTGGAAATGTTGGGATGAAGAAG